TCAGAATCCGCGTACTATGTAACTGTAGAAGCCAGGAGCATGCCCTAGAAAAAATTCATATTGGTACGAATCGTTTCACAATTGAACGTTAATCCTCTTTTACCTGCATTCTAAGCTGATGATATATCACTATGTAAGAGTTAAATAACTTGAATGGTAGCAATAAACAAGAGTAGTACRGAAACTCCGATTATTTTTGAATTTTTTTGAGTTTTTTGTTTATCATGTTTTTTTTTTTAGCTTGATTCCTCATCTTTACTGAGTGCAAGGAAGAGAAGAAGCGTCAGTGAAACAAACGCAACTTATTCTCCCTTACCAAGTATGTCATCATCAAATAAATACGTATTCATAACATTGTACAAATATTTTTGAGAATGACTTAATAATATAAATGACTTAACATCAACRATAGATATATTAGAAGCAGCCTTTTCGTGTTAGTCATCCCACATTGCGGCTGTGACATGGTGAAGATTTTTTTCCAATATCCTCMCAGACACTACTCCTTAAACAGAGATTATGCTGAGGACAGAAAAAGACCTTTGCAAGCAGGATACGCAGACAATAGTGTAAAACTTTCTTACTTTCACTCACCTTTTTTTGAAAAAAAAAGCTTGGTTCTCACTTTCTCTTGTATCTTTCAGATGATCCAACAATCCARCGCGTTGTGGTGGAAATTGCTGATGAAAACGATAACGGGCCAATATTCACCAAAAAGGTTTACTCAGGAGGTAAAACAAACAAGCTTTTACTAACACATTTATAAAGTAACATGCATTGATTTGAATGATGAGCACGCTTTAGTTAGTGTTCCATGGCATTAGCAGCATACTCGCAGTTGTAGAAATGCATCGGCATTATGGGGCAACAAGTTGACATTTTATGCATCAACAAACAAAGAAATTTGTAAATTATCACGATCGACGATCCAAGGTTTCCTATCATTTTTTTACTATCAGGAAGCGAAAAAGACGTCGTAGATAAGTATTGAAGCGTCACCTAARACAGCCCCATGATGGAACGCGTGCTGCAACTCCTGAAACATCACCAAACCTCCTAATCATCACGCAAAAAATTMTCTATTTCTCACGAAGACTTTTCCCGGAATTTGCGTATATCGTTGATGCTCACGCTAATTCATAACAAGTATRAACTTATACTCAAAGAACATCCAATACCCTACTCTACAACTGCAACTCTCCACTTACATGCCGATTTTTGATAACCTTTCTTTTTAATCATAGGARTTCCTGAAGACATTCCTCACGGAGACAACATCATTCGTGTAATTGTAAGTTTGCTCAAAACAATTCTGGTAGAATACCTCACTATCACYGTCATAAGTTAACAATAAATCCTTCTAAATTGCAAAAATCCCMTTTTCTTTTTCTACTGGATACTTCTCCAATAAGGCATCAACGGYGGTTTAATCATGTACGTTTTGCATTAAGTTGTAACTGAATAAATCYGGCATTGAATAATTTCAATGAGATGTCCTTTCGCAACTTTTAATGTATTGGAAGGATAGGATAAAAAGCAGATCTAGAAGTCCTGAAATAAAAACTGTCAAGCCAAGAACAGAAATGAATAAATGGATTTTTTTTTACTTGATAACTGAAGTTGCAAAAAGTCCAACCATACGATACCAAATATTTTTCCTGACACTTGAGTATGTTTCTTATTGCTGAAGGCTAACGATGCAGATGTTGGCAACGGTGGTCGCATTAGCTATGACTTCTCGACAACAACTGAAGACTCAAAGAAGTTYACCATCGATAATGAGACTGGATGGATTAAGGCTGCAGATTCGTTTGCTGGTCAACGCGGCAAAGAATACGTACTTAACGTTACATCTAAGGATAACTTGGGGATAGATCCATATCGTTACGACACCGCTACTGTTAAGGTGAAGTATTTAGCCTTTAGAATGAATTTGAGAAACAAACAAAATGCATGCGCACTTTTTTTGATTATGACCTGCGTTAAGCAACGCTGAGTCAAGCATTGCGTGAAAACCCTTAGGATTTCTGAATATGAGACGATCAAGTATTAAGAGGAAATGTTTTTCAACAATGAGCAATAATGGCAAAAAACGCCAAAAACTAGACTTTTTTATGAGTTTTGATCCCAATTTTCGTTTTGGGTTAACACTCAAAACCTTTTTTAAACAGAAACTGAAGTACTATGATGAAATGTCTGTTTCAAGCGGTATTTTCAATTGTACAAAGACGTTTTGTTGCATATGTGTTAGAATGTTGCTTTTTCAGGCTTTTTTATATAAAATATATGATAGATGTGTTGATCATCACAGTGAATGAGCGATCTAAGCGAACGCTGTAAAGAAAGACCTAAAAAAATGATTTCAGGCTTCAACGGGAATCGAACCCATGACCTCCTGGGAAATAAGCAAATGAAAAGTTTTTGCTTTGGGTTACACACTTTGATTCCATTTTCATCGGTGATCTCCAATTCCAAACAAGTTAAACTTTCTGAATAACAAG